CACCTGGCACAGGGCCTAGAAGCAGGTATGGAAATGGTGACAACCAAGACAGGCACTAACATTTACTGTGCACTCGATCTATATCATCACTCGGAAAAGGGCCCCCATGACCCTGGGGCAGACATGCTTACCTCCCATTTTTCAGAAGGAAAAATAGACTCTGAAAGACTGAGAATCTCACCCAGAGTCACAAAGCTTATAACTGGCAACACCAGGTGAGAACCCTGCTCTGTGAAACTTGGAGGCACAAGCTGCCTCCTGCATGGGAGAGGGTGGAAGAGAGACTGGGGAAGGGAGCTCCTTGCGGTTGTCTAATGAGGTTCCCAAGTATATCAGCTGTGCAATCTCGGGCACATTACATAACCTCTCGGTTTCCTCATCTGTCAAATGGGTCTGATATCAGAAACCTCCACACAGGATTGCTGTGAGGAATAAAGGACTTACTTAACCCAGAGCCTGGCACACTGGAAATGATCTAATAGTTGATAGCATTTGTGAGCAAGTACCATAGAAGGCGGGGGATCTGTGGTCTGGGGGTCTCCAGGCCAACAGCTCTAACATTCCAGGACTCTGGATTCCAACCTAACCATTATCTAACCCTTAAGTCTCCATCCAAACCCCCATTGCTTCCTCCAAGACCTCAGATCCCTGGTCCCAATCACACTTTCTACTGGTGCAGGGTACATATTCATGTACACACACGCAGGCACATGTCCCGCACACACCGCCTGCAGGCTCCAGGTTCTCGGCCCCAGCAGATGTCATTCTCTACTTGCTCCCAACAAGTCTTAGCCTGGAGCCCTGCACACAACAGAATTCCTCTCAACAACCTATGTCCCAGACTAGACACGCTGTTAGCAACCACAAGCTCATGCTCCAGTCGGGCTGTAGAAAGAACAGGACCCAGGGTTAGACCAACCAGGTTTGGAATCCTGGCTGTGTGACCAGGAGCCTCCATTTACCCAAGTGTACAATGGGAACTGGAGGGGAATTAGATGCTTCCTCTGGGCCCTTCTGGCTGACATCTAGATTGGCTACACTTCAAACACTCACATGCAGAACCTCCAAGGAGGTGGGGAGGCCTTGCTTCATGAAGCCCACTCAGCATGGAATGTGATCACTCCTTCCTGTCCTCCTCGGAGCAGCTCCTGATTTATCAACATCCTAAAGCTAGGGGGATCCACCCTCCTGGCTTCTCCCAGCTCCCTCAAGAATGAAGGCTTTGACATCCTAACTGCTCATTGGCTAACAGTAATAACAATTCCCTAAAAGATGCGGGATTTCACTGCTTGCAAAATGTCTTCTTACCTATTCACACCTCCCTGATTCCTGAAAACAATCCTATGAAGTTACCCAGGCAGGTTCCATCATCTTCATTTTATAGAAAAAAAAAAAAAAAAAAAAAAAAAAAAAGAGCTCAGAGAGGCCAAGTGACTTGCTCATGGCCACACAGTAAATGGCAGAGTCAGGTCTCTAGACCAGGTCTTTGGGCTCCAACACTCAGATTCTTCCATCCACACCAGGTGGGTTCCCAGCATGTCCTCAAAAGGTGCATGGGCAACAGTTAGTGGTGATGGGGAGATGGAAGACTTCAGACCACCAGGGTTTTGAAGGTCAAACAGTCCATGTGTCTGCCCTGCAGCCAAAGCTGTCTCTTAGAATCCTGGAACCTTAAAAGTTAATAACCTTCAGACTTCCTTGGCTGAGGTCAGGCAACTCAACTACAGCCTCCACATAAATATCCTCCTCAAGTAAACACAACCACCACATTTTGTGCCGTTTACCAGCTGCTTTCCACAAACCCCATGTCCTTATCCAACATGCAAGGTTGAATATCTCTGAATAACTCAATGGACAGCAAGCTCACTCCCTTCTCTGTAGCAGCTCCTTCTATCGCCTCACTGAGAGAGAGCTGCCCCATTTCCACTTTTTCCACTCGGGCCCCAGAGTAAGCCTCATGCCACAGGAGATCTGCTGTCACCCGCAAGGTCTTCCCCAGTTGATGGTTCCCAGGGCCGCCCGCCAGCTGGGAGGTGAGCTCGAGCAGGGCCCCACTGGACTCAGTGGGACTCAACCGAAGGCAGCACGAGGCCTGCTGGGAACACACTGGGGATCTGAAGTCCTTCTCCTGGTAACTCAGATCCTGCATCTTAGAAGCAAAGTGGCCCAGAGGGGCAGGAAACACATCGAGAGTACAAGGTACTCTTACTCCAAGCCTGGCTGCCTGGGGAACTGGCTCTGGGACCTGGAACAAGTCCCCTCCCCACTGTGGCCACAGTTTACCCATCTGTAGAATGAACAAAACAACACCTCCCGTAATAGCATCTACATCTATGGCCCACATCCATGGCCTCTAGATTTTCATCTTGCCTCTGTGAGGCTGGCAGCTGGAGGGAAGTTCAGGGACTGACCCACGTATACACAGTGTAACCGCACAATCTGGTCCTGCTCTCTTCTCCAGCCAATCTCCTTCCTCTCTCCAGCCTCGGCACTGATCCTCGAAATCCACGAGCTTTTTCCTACTTCCCGGGGCCTGGAATGGTCTTACTCCGGCTCCTTATTCAGCTGGCTCCATCTCATCCTGCAGCCCCTGGCCTCCCTTAGCACCCCCAGCCCCAGCTTCATGTGCTCTCGGCACACTGTGTCCCTCCCCACCCTTATCACGATCTGTACTGTGACGTAGTGTATGACTATTGTTTAATCCCAGTCTCCCCCACTAGACGAACAGCTCCATGAAAACAGACACTTCGTCCTCGCCCATGGCCGTATCCTCAGATCTGCGCTAGTGTCTGGTACACAGTAGGCCTTAAATAAGTAGTTGGTGAATGAATGAACGAGGGGCCGGGACGGCTTCAGGTGGGGAGGAGGATCTATTCTGCCCCCATGGAGTCCACAAGAGAACATGATAAGCGCCCACGGAAATGTGTCACATACCACTTGAGAACAGCAGTGATCGAAATTACCCTCATCTGAGGCTCGCTACATGCCAGGCGCTCTAGTGGTGTTTGCACACATAACTCATTTAACCCTTAAGGCTGGAAGATGTGTGATGTTCCTTTATACGAGGAAACTGAGGTCCAGAGACATTAAGTAACTGGCCCAAGATCACACAGCCAGGAAGGCACAGACCCCAGATCTAACAGTGGCCTAAGGCCTGCACGTGAAGCCAGAAACACTGCATGAATGGGGGAAATTGAGGCTGCACCCTGACCCAGGCAGTGGGAGGTCCCCAGCCTGGCCCTGGCCCCTGTGAGACCTTAGGCTCAATCCCCAGCCTTCCAGAACTATTTTCCATCTCAACAGTCATGGGTGGCTCATAGGGACTCCAGAGCTCTGCCTGCTGACTTCCTGGAATGAACAGGAGCCCACAGGGGTGGGTGCGTGAGACCCTAAAGCAAAGCTCTATGGCCCATCTTCCCTTGCCAAGGGGAGCAGTTGGGGCCAGGAGGCAGGAGTGAGGAGCTCGGGGTCCGAGTTTAGAGCAGCTCAGGCAAGGAGTTCTGGAAGCAGCTCAGAGCACCAACTGGGCAGGGCCAGGCCTCCTTCTGGCTTGTCTCCCTCCTCTTACCCACCCTGCACTTGTCTTCTCCTCACCACTGGCTTTTGAATACTATAGGAGCTGACTGAACCCCTGATTGTCAACAGCGAATGGGGTCTTTAGGAAGGCTTACCCTCTCAATAAACAGATGAGAAAACTAAGTCCTGGCCTGAGGAAAGGTTAGAGGCTAAAGGGGTAGATTATTCTGATTCAGACAGACCCTGTCCTTCTATTCTACAACAGTCACTAAATGTACGCTGGATAGCAGATGCTGGGGAAAATAGGGAGGGGGAGACACAGTTAAGTAAGATCTTACAAACTCTAATGGGAGAGAAACCCTTTTGGCCAGAAGAGTTACAATGCAAAGCTAAGTGTTGCTGGGCAGACATAAATTAGCAGAGTGCCGTGAACTCCGTGGCTCTTGGCCAGGGGTGCTCTGGGTATTGTGCCAGGACATCAACTAATAAGAGTAGGTACATTTCAGCCTCTTCCAAACCACGCCCAGCCAGTGGTGGCAGAACCCATGAAGCTTCCCAGGCCAATATCGACACACAGGGCTGGGCTGTCCCTAAAGCTGCCTCGGTGCCAGACAGTGGGCAGACAGAGCCTGGCCTGCACCCAGCAGGTGCTTATGTCCACTGAAAGCGTGAAGGCCAAGCCTGCTCTCCCCGGGGAAACTCTCAGGTCCCCAATGCGCCCCCCCCAGAGGAAAGGCCCCTTTCAGATGTCAGTTTCCCTCCTCTCACTGGCAACATGGGAAGGAGATGGGCACTGCCGTGGGGCACCAATGCAGTTGCTGTGTGTACAGGGCCTGTCCCAAACTGGGCAGAAGACAATACCCTGGGATTTAGGAAGCTGCCTCTGAACCGGTTCTCCCACGACATCATCCTCCCAGGCTGTGGGACCGTTAGGGCGGAAGTCGGACTCTAGCCAAGGGGATGTTCCCAGATGTCAATGCTTTCAAACCGGACCCGCCCTGAAAGGCAGGCAGGGACAGGCCTGAGCCAGGAAAGCCCTGGGTAAAGACTCAGGATGGTGTTCTGGCCTCTCCTTGGCAGGGGATGGCCACAGGTCTCCCTGGCAGCACCGCACAGCAGTGCCTGTCCCAGAAAGGAGAGCCGCCAAAGGCCTGGCCTCTGGCTTGGGGGTGGAGGCTCTGAGCAGCTGCATCGAGGTCCAGTCCCTCACTGAGTACCCACCCCCATCCCAAGTACCGCATCTAGGCATCCTCCAAAGTACTTTTCTCAAGCTCCCCTTCCCAAATCAGGGTCCTTTGGGCAGTCTCCTCTTCCAGGTTCCTTCCTCAGGAGGTGTCCCAGATACAACGGGAAGCGGGATGTGAGGGAGCCCCTGAGGGTTTAGGCCCCTTTCCCAGCTCGTGCGGTGGGATAGCGGGCCGGCTGGTGCCTCAGGCCGGTGGGGCTGACACCCGCGCCTCCCCTTCCCGCACCAGCGCCCTCACCTTGAGATAGTCGTTTTCTGAGCGCAGCTCCTCCAGCTCTCGCACGAAGCCGCCGGGCCCGCAGTCCAGCATCTCCTCGGTGAGGTCGGAGAAGGCGAGCGAGGCACTGAGTGGCAGGCGACTGCTCCCCACCGACGACGCGGCCACCGACGGCTCCTCGGGGGAGGCGGGGGGCCGCGGAGGCTGTTGTGCGGCCGGCGCAGGCTGGGACTGCTGCCCGGTGCGGGGCCCCCCCGGGCCCCCGGCCGCCGACTCAGCGTCGCTGCTCAGCGCCAGCTCCAGGCCCAGCAGGC